AGGAGGCGCTGTAAATTTGTCGACCAATGCTCAAGCACACTTGCACGATCGAAGGGCTTCTCAGAACGTAACGGATCTCAGGGGCTTGATGCCCAAGTCGCAACCTCTGAATCCTCAGGATCCCAGGGACGGCAAAACGCCTACGCCAGCAAATTCAAATAGACAGCCTTGATGCCTCGTGACCGGTTTGCCTCTTCTCGGCTCTGCTGGACGCTTCGACATGGTTCTCTCTTGCTCACCACGAAACCCGAACCCACAAGGAACACTTTGTACTCTTATGCTCGCCGCTCGCCCCCCCTTTTACCGGTCTAACTTATACTCTGTGGGAAAGGAAATGTTCTGCAAATCGGTTCAAAGGACATCTACGCCGCGTCTTGTCGTGCTCAAACATCTCGGTGGATGCGTTCCAAATGTAGCATTGTTCATGGTACACAAAAGGTCTTTCGACCCTCGACAGATCGCTCAGCGTGGGAAGCGCTGGGGTTCACAGCAAGGGCCTTCTCTCGGCATCGTCCTCACCGTCCAGAGCAGTATCTTGCGCCTCGTCTTCTTGCTCGATGACTTGGGCTGGTGCGGTGCGACCAAGGTTGGTGGATGACCTACCAGCTCGCAAATGCTCGAGTTCCATCGATATCGATTCGATCAGGGTGAGTATTGTCCCTGTGTCGCATGACAGGACGGGCAAAGGTCGGGGTCAGCATTCGCGACTTTGATCATTGTTGTCCCTCGCAAAATTGTGCCTAGGAAACAAGTGCAGGGCGGGAAAGCGCGAAATGGTTCTGCAGGGGGGTGTACTCACGTCTTTCCCATTCCCCCCAGATGACGGAGCTGTACAGCATCGTAGCGCCAGCAGCACCAGTGACGACTGCGAATAGCGTCATGCCGAACCTTCCGAGAGCGGCAAGCAGACCTGATCCGCTAGCCAAGGGGCTGGCGAACAGCAACACGAATGCGACAAGGAGGGCAGCGAAGAAGAATTGGAAATGCATCTTTTGAGACGCTCTCGAGGCATGAAGAGAGACGCTCAGGGCCTGAAGAGCTGATGTTAATGATTGAGCCACTTGAGTCGTAGAGCGCGGATGATCCTTCGTGGCTTTGGCGCCAGCTTCATCGGATGAGAGGATATGAAAAGATGCGCTCAAACCAAAATGATCCGAGTACGAGACATGTTGTAAGTCGGGCAGCGTCTCGGTCCAGCAGACGTGGCAGGTCTTCGCTTCCAGTTGTCCGGACGAGAAGGCGTCTTTGGACAAACTTGCTGCAGAGTCGAAGTTATCAGGGACCCGGGACCGCGTGTTTGACGGGGAGGGGGCAGCAGGGCCACGATACAAAATGTAGTCCAGCCTTTTGCCCAATCCAGCTCTGGCGTTCCTGTCCAATTTTGCCTCTTTGCCTTGCGTCCAAGTATTCAGGGGTGAATCGCAAGTCACGCCAAGTTGCTCGATACTTCGTCTGGCTGATCTTGAGGAGGGGCCGCTCTGATCCGTCGGGGTATTAATTAAAGCCACTGCTCCTGGTGGAAGATCCGGATGTGTCACTGCAAAAGCATCGCTCAGACCGCCAACATCTCGCAGCAGGGCGAGAGACAGCGAAGGAGGTGTACTGTTAAAGTCTCCGAGCTTGATGCATGCAGGAAAGGCGCGATGATCGGATCTCGTTGAGCTTGTATTGCAGAGATTACAGAGCGACTAATCAGACTTACGCAGATGACATGTCTTGACCTCTGAGCGCTACGCTTAGCTAGCGAGGCGAGCTGATACGCTTGAGAGACTCTATGCGCTCGGCTTGACTCGGGACCATCTTCGCCTCCTGCTGCAACAGTCTAATTCGTCGGATTCGACGAAGTGTGGATACAGTCAGCATTTTTGAGTGGGTTCAAGGACTCGACAAGCATACGAGGACGGCTCGCCAGCAACGTCGCTCAACTCCCAGTGTTCCATCTCCACAATGTGGCAACCCTGCAATCTTTACGCCTACATCCCCTGCCTTTCGTCGAACATCAGTGAGAGAACTTGAAGACTCACATGGGTCACCCAAACGTCAACCTCCCCCAAGCCGCCTTTGTCGACTCGCAGAGTAGCACAGCCGGCAGCTTTGGCGACGATCCAGTCTCCGTGGTGGACGTGTATAGGATGCCCATTCAAAGAGTATGGATGAGTTTGTGTGTGCAGAATGGGATGGGCTGACAAGATGGCCAGACCAGAGCCGAATGCTCCACTGCGCATGTGGCAGAGGGTGCGAAGGAGAGCAAGCAAGCGCAAGTCGTCAGTCTCACCTTTCTTGCTCACAACCATGCCAGACTGATCGTGCTTGCGTGTATGCGCCTCA